AGTCAGCTCCTGAGGGGGCAGGCAGCAGGAGTCAGAGACTATCAAGGGTTAGTTGGAGGGAGGGGGCTAAGCAGTCAGGACTCCAGAAGCTACAGAAGTCCTACTAGGAGCCCAGTCCTGCTCGGCATCGCTTGCCTGTTATTTCTCTTCCTCCTCCCAATTCTCCACCAGGCAGGTGCACGGCCTGGACTCTCACCCCTTGACCCAAATCCCGGCAGTGGGCATGGGAGGCGGGGAGACTTGCTTTGAAATCCAGAATTTCTGAGTTTTTATGAAGACACACAGTCTAGCCCTGGCCGGGTTAGAGCGCCAGCCCGCACACTGAAGGGTCTAGGGTTCAATTCCCAGTCAAGGGCATGTACCTGGGTTGCAGGTTCGATCCCCAGCCTGGGCCCTGGCCAGTAACCAATCTCTCTCTCTCTTCCCCCCTCTCTCTTTCTCTCCCGCCCCCCTCCCTCCTTCCCTTTCACTCTCTCAAAAAATCAATGGAGAAAATATCTTCAGGTGAGGATTAACAGCAACAACAACAAAAAAGACATTCAGTCTATAACCTGCGCATTACAGGACACTCCTTCAGGGCCTGGTGCTGTATGCTCTGACCTGCATTATTATTTCGGGCAGACTGTGTGCACATTCACACCAAGAGGGAATAACCACTCTAAATCACCCTGTGTCAGGTCAGGTCAGGTTTTACTGCCAAGTTTTGGAAATAACGATTGTTTTGCATTTTTTTGGACTTCAAATGGTTGGTGGGGGTTGGGCCCCCATTGGCTTTTTCATTGAATCTAAGACATCTAAGCTGAGCTAGAGGGTGACAGGGAATTGGCACCTCAGGTAGATGTCTCAGCAATGGCCATCCCGGTCTGCCTCCCTAGGGGCCCTGGATTCGCCACCCCCTCCCACACCAGACACTCGTAGGGCCAGGCTCTCACCGCCTCTTGGAGGCACACTTTGCGTAGCTCCTGAAGTTTCAGGCTCAGGGCCTCCTGTAGAGCCCGCTGCCGGTCAAGCAGTCCCCTCAGACGCTCTGACTTCACCTGGGGAGTGGCCTCCCCAAACAGGGCAGCTGGACACAGAGGGAGCAAAGATCAGTGGGGCAGCCACAGCATCCTGCATCCTGTAGGGCCAGAGACCAGCCCTTCTCAAGTGGGCGGGCAGGTGGTGACTCAGAGCAGGGGAGGAGGCAGCAGGAAGGAGAACCAGATACCGACCTGAGGCATTGAAAGTGGGAGAGGTGATCAGCTGACCTTTGACTTCCATCCTGGTGTTGTCAAGAGGCCGAGGCCGTGGCTTATGGTGGGATAAGGCCTGGTAGTGATGCATGAGAACCATTAAAGAAGCACATGTGTGGTCCCTCACCCAGCTTCCCACACCCCGGGAAGAAGGGGTACCCTGACCCCACCCGCCTGCTTGACCTGCCCTCTCAGAATCTGTGTCAACATCTGGCCTCCACCAGGCCCTCATACCTTGGTTCCCTTCCCATTGAGTGGGAGCACAGCAAGTGGGGAGCTGGGCAGACTTATGATGCCTCCTCAGAGGCCCATGGGCCAGTCAGGATTCTCACCTGGAGGGGGAGAATTAATGTCACAGATTCAACCAACTAGAACAACAGTGGGCATTTCCTTAAGCACCTGAGTGCGTGGAAGAACTACCTTATATGCCACCTTTAATCTTCACAACCATGGCAGTTCTGTAATTATCACTACTCCCAGTTTATTATTTATTTATTAAAATATTGTTATTGATATCAGAGAGGAAGGGAGAGGGAGAGAGAGATAGAAACATCAATGATGAGAAAGAATCAATGATGAAAGAGAATCCTGCACATCCCACACTGGGGATTGAGCCCACAACCCAGGCATGCGCCCTGACCGGAAATCAAACTGTGACCTCCTGGTTCATAGATCGACACTCAACCACTAAGCCACGCTGGCCGGGCCACTAACCCTAGTTTAGAGATGAGGAGAAGAAGGCACAGAGGTGAAGAAACTTGCCTCTGGCTAAGGATAGAGCCCAGGCCACCCCTTTGGTCTAACATTCTCCATCACTAGAGCTGCTCCAACCCCACCAATTCCTCATAAGGTCATAGCCAATCTGACCTCAGGGCCTTTGCCCAGGCTATGGCTGCTGTCTGGAGTGCTCTTTTCACCTATCACCACACCAGACCCTGATTCTCACATGCTGGGACTTAAATGTCACTTCCAGAGTTGGGCCCCCACATTACGTCCCCTCACATTATGTCCCCTCACAACTGCTGTCCAATAAGAGACTGTCTCCCTCATACATTCGGGAGGACAGGGAATGTGTCTGTCCTGTTTTCATCAGTGTCTCTGGCACTCAGAGAGATTCTGTGTGCACATCAAGTGCTCATCTGGATCTGCTGGGTGAATGAAAGGATGATGAGCTCTAGCTGGTTTGGCTCAGTGGATAGAGCATCGACCTGTGAACTGAAGGGTCCTGCATTTGATTCTGGTCAAGGGCACATGCCTGGGTTGCGGGCTCGATCCCCAGTAGGGGGCGTGCAGGAGATAGCCGATCAGTGATTCTCTCTCATCATTGATGTTTCTAACTCTCCTTCTCCCTTCTTCTCTGGAATCAATAAAAATATAAAAAAGTAAATTAAATTTAAAAAGGATGACGTGGCAGCCAGCCCAGGGAATGAGCCTAGATCTGTGGGTCACTACTCATCCCAACTCTATCCTGCAGCTTTGGTGTGGCAGGGAGAAGAGTGTCCACTTGGCTTCAGGACCCCTCCAGACCCTCTGCCCACCCCAGTCTGTCCCACACCCAGCAGAGTGAAGTCACCCTGCTGGGACTTTGAACAGTGAAGTCCACAACTACAGATAACAAGCCGACTGCCTCCGGCCTCTCTCTCTGGCCCAAGCTGCCCTAGCTGACCATGGGGCCTGCTTTGGCAGGCTATCAGCCCTGCCCTCATCCCCTCCTCTGGAGTTTGCTCCCTCCCTCCCACATCCTGCTCAGTCCCCAGCTGGGCAGCCAGGTGACATCACCTGCCACCATCTGGCCTGACCTCAGTGGCAGGCAGCTGGGAGGGCCTCAGGAGGTCACAGACGTCCCATCCCCATCTACCTCGAACCTACCAGCTTGTTACGAAATGCTGGCTAGGTGTGGAGAAGACCCAGGCAACTGAGCAGGCATGGGTTCAAGCCCCCTCCCCATCCGTACAACGGGAGATGTGGCCAAGCCTCGGCAGTCCTCCTACCCGCCCCATAGGATCTGTCCCCTCCTGTGGTTCCCTGTCTTCAACATCAGGGGCAGGGATCAGAACCTAAAGCCCTTCCGCATACCCAGGCAGCAGCGTGTGCTTTGCAGAGGCGCTCACATGCCCATGCTCTGAGGTCTGACATTGCTCAACACAGCGGGGTTTCCTGAAGGCCCCAGCCCAGCCTCTCTGCCCCTTGGCTCCTGAGGGTCCTTCTACTCAGCCTCCATTTGGGTTTGAGGAACCCTCCCAAGGCTCCCCTAAACCTTCCTTCGCCCTCATGGAAACCTCCACTCCTCCCCGGTGGTCCCATTGGCCAGGGCTGGTCCGACATCTCACACGAAGCTGCCTTAAGCCGTCCTTCCCTTGGAGCTCACGGCATCTTGGAAGTCAACATAGGGTCCAGAAAGGAATCCCGACTCCACCCTATCAGCCTGACCTTGGGGACATAGCTAGGGCCTGAGTCATGAGGTCATTGGGCAGGCTAGACACAGGGTCCACGCCCCACACCCCCACACCTGGCTCCCAAACCTCTGCCTCTGCATGTCTGCTCTGGGCACATTTGCCTCGGGGCCCAGGGTTGCCAGGTACCCACCCAGAGATGATAAGAAGGGGATCCCAGCAGCCCCCTCCCAACACCCTCCCATACCAGACCCTGGGTTTCCCCATGGTGGGCCTGTGCTGCCCCAGGATGGGCTGCAGCAGGAGAGTTGCAGAGAACACTCCCACACCGAGGCGGGCCCAGCAGGTTTTTCAGGTCTGCCCTTCTGACACCACAACCAAGAAATTCCTGGCTATAATGACTGTTTACAACCAAGACACCTCACCTGGGTGGCACCCCAACACCTTCAGTGGGACCCCCATTTCCACATCCTGCCACCCTGGGAGCAAATAAACTCTCAGTGTCTAGACTGTTCACACTATTCTAAGGGCCCCCTGCCCCAGGTGAACAGATGCGGTCGGGGTGAGGGGGGCAGGAAGGCGGATTCTGGGCTTTCCTGAGAGGCTGGGCCCCAGGTTAAGGGAGGGCAGAGGCTACTCCCACAGAGAAGGAAGGGGGAAGAGGAAGTCGGGGGAGTGGAGAAGGGGGACTCTGGCTTCTCTTCTCCCTGATCCCTTCCCTTCCCTTCCCTTCCTCCATTTCCGGCAAGGGATCAGCTCCATGCCAAGAAAGGAAATTGGACATTTTGGGCTTCACCCATCTACTCAGGCCCTCCCTTGCTGTCCTCTTGTGCAGATCTAGCTCTTTCCCGCAAGAAACATTAACACACTCCATACCCTCCTCACCCCAACCTGTGGGCCCATGTTCCCAGGTGCTCACCAATACCAGATAGGTACTGTGGGGTGGCTTCAGGTACCTGAAAAAAGAGTTGTCTCCACCAGGCCCGGCTCCCTCTGGTAGTGGCGGTGAGCAGTGAGTGCAGTGGCAGCTGCCTAGACCGCCTCCCACTAGGCAATGGCCCAGCCTACCTGGCCAGGGACTGGGCCGGCCCATACCTTTTAACCCTTACTTGCCTGCCACCGAGGCTCGAGGCTCGGGTCATCCTTAGAGGCAGTCTCAGGGTCAGGTAGCCTCAGGGTGTCCAGCACAGCCAAGAAGAGAGCCTCGACCTTCCTCCTCACCCCACACCCCCAGCAGAGAACTGGGGAAGAAGGGCTAAGGATGATGGCAGTGGTAGCTGCCTCTGGGGCTGCCCAATTTCCCAGATGAGACCCTGCTCAGCCCAGGGTATGACCTGGGAGCTGGGGGATGAAGGTCTGGTGAGGCCCAGAGTGTAAATCTGTGTGTATCTCTTGGCAGTCCTCATCACATTCCTGAGGACCCTACCCTCCCCCACCCCACCCCCGGGGCAAGGCATTGGTATGGGAAGGCGTTAGAGCAAGTCCTCCCCTCACTGAGGTAACAGTGGCCCAGTTGACGAGAAAGGTCAACTTATCTAAGGAGAGAACGGGTCTCAAGACACTCCCACCTTCTGCAGCTCCAAGAGAAATCATCCCAGCAAACATGTGCTTTAACCCCTTCCGGTCCCTACAAACCTGGGTGGATGGCGCAGACCCAGCTCCTCATAGCCAGCTTGAAGATGTGGAAGTGGGGGCTTGGAGAGGTGATGAGGCCTGATTCTGATCACAGAGGCATGAGAGCAGGCCGCATCAGATCTTGGGGGGCTGGGTCCTGGGTCAGAGGCCAACAGAGGCTACTCCTGCAAGGGAGGAGTGGGAAAGGGGACTCATGCTGCTTCACACCCATGCTGCCCTCTCCGTTTTCCCCGCTTGGGCAAGTCAAGGAAATTGAGGGCTCTGAGTCCCTAAGATGTACTGTTTCCCCCACACCACCGCCTGGGCTCTGGACCTGCACCAGCACACACCACACCTCCTGCATTCCTCCTGAGACCATCTGTCTGTGACCTCGGGGCCCAAGCCCAGCCCAGGCCCCTGCAGCAATCCATGCTGTGAGATGAAAGGGCAGCATAAGGCAAGTTCTCTGCCTGCTTGGCAGGTGGGCCAAGCCTGGAGAGGCATTCCCTCTGTTCAGCAACACCCCACATACATGCCTCCTGCCACCCTGACCATCTTTCTTCCTGGGTATAAGATTTCTGGCACAGAACACAAAGGCCCATTTCATCTCCCCTTCCTACCCCTCCACCCGCCTGGGGCTGGTGGAGGCAGCAGCCATAAGGTGGGTAGTGGATGTTGGTGGGGAGTGTCCTCTCAGCCATGGCCTCTCCTGCCTCTTGTGGGACACCAAGGATGTTGAGACGAGGGATGTTTATAGAATCAGACACGAGAGGGACAAAGGTATCTGTCTGACAATGCAGATTGAGTCTCAAGACAGGTTTCTTCATCTGAAAAATGGGTAACTAGCGCTTACAGAGCCAAGAGAGGTCAAAGACACTTTAAAAGGCATTTCCCAGTGCAACGTCACTCACACTATGTCATTAATGACAATAACAACAATAACCTCACGCAAAGGTGCAGGAATGAGGAGAGAGAAGGTAACCAGGCCTCTTGGGCCAAGCAGACAGGCAGGACAGAGTCACACACACACACACACACACACACACACACACACACACACACATCATTGCCCTGGTACACGACTTTTAACAGCCTGGAAGCTGGCCAACCTCTAAGCCCGCCACAACTGGAACTTGAGCCTCAGGTGGCCTCATGGAGGGGTAACAAGTGGTAGGTCTGGGTTCAACCCAGCTCTGCCACTAACTAGCTATGCGACTACTTGGAGAAATCCCTTAACCTCTCTGGGCCTCAGTGTTATCACCAATAAAATGGGAGTGATGATGAAGAGGGTTGTTGTGAGCATGACTTGAATTAATACATTCAAAGCTTGCTTAGGATAGTGCCTGGCCCAAGCTAAGTGCTCCATAGGCACTGGCTGTCACAATTACAAGTATTCCTCCCAACCCAAAGTCAGAAATCAAAATATATATATATCAGGGCTGATATCCCTCAGCCTCACCTGATAAATGCGAAACAGAGCTGTTTTCCCTCGAATAACTTGTCCGAACTCAGGAACCAAATATAATCAGGTGAATTTCTGAGATAGAGCTAGTATCCCTCAGCATCAAAACCCTCTCTACTTGCTACTCAGATCTGATCCCTCCCTACTTGCCAAATCAGACATATTTGAAACAGAGCTGTTTTCCTTCATTGTCCAACCTCTCCCTACTCATCATAAAAAATGCAGGAAACAAATATATTTACACAACATAGTACCTTTACTATCCCAATTCTTGCCACTGGAGCTCAGGAAAATGAGAAGATTTGAATAAGTTTTTGAGTTAGAGCTGATATTCCTCATTATCTGAACTCTTTCTACTCATTATATAAAATGAAAACATTTGTGTTTTAACAGCCAGTTTATCAACATTACCACCAGATCCGTGTGACAAAGAGAAAGAGCAAAAGAGCTGGCAGAGCCTGGCTGGTGTAGCTCAGTGGTTGTGTTGACCTACGAACCAGGAGGTCATGGTTTGATTCCTGGTCAGGGCACATGCCTAGGTTGCAGGCTCAATCCCCAGTGGGGGGCAGCCAGTCAATGGTTCTCTCTCATCATAGATGTTTCTGTCTCTTTCTCCCTCTCCCTTCCTCTCTGAAATCAATAAAATATATATATTTTTTTAAAAGAGCTGGCAGAAAATCACTGTATATACAAGGTGTCCCAAAAAATGTATACACACTTTAACAGCTGATAGTTCAATTGATGTTTCCTTCTTTTCAGACTTAAACTATTGGAGTTAATAATGGGTTAAAAGTATATATTGCAAAACCAAAATACCTTCAGATAACTTGGGGGTCTTTCACTGCCTGAACTATCCAAACTCTCCCTCTCATAACTCAGGTACCAAATAGATTGGGACAGCGAGGGATGCTTGTGCTGTTATCAATAGGTTTGGATAAATGTTTTAGGTAAGTGAGATGGGTATGGTATCTCGTTCCTCAAACTCTCACTATTCTCTATGAGAAATGCAAAACAAAACATAAATGAAGAACACATTACGTCCTCACTATCCAAATTCTCCCTGACTGTCCTCAGAATCAAGGAGATTCATACAGCAAGGAAACCTTGCTGTTGTTATTGTTACTACTGGATGGGCCTGATTCTAACACCCAGTGACCGCCCCCCCGCCCCCGCCCCACCCAGACCTGCCCACAGAGGTTAGATGGACTTAGCACAAGATACACTTACTGCTAAGAGAAGGCGGATAAGCCCCTGTCCCATCCTACCCCTACCAAGCCTTGAAGTCTCTGTCTGGAATGGATTTTTTTCAGGCCAGGAAAGCAGGGATCATGCACCCAGGGTCAAAATCGGGAGGTGGGGGTGACATGACTTAGAAGAATAACACATACCCTTGAGTCTCCCACCCCCACATATTTGCTCAGCCCCATGGGGCAGTCCCCAACCTAACAAGGCTGGAAATCTGACCCAGACCTCACAGACTCCCAGAGTCACTGAATAATTTAGGGTGTTCTTCCACACGTAGGGAGGGTGGGGAGCACAGGAACAGTTCTATGCCCTCCTAGGGCAGGGAGAGAAATGCCAGCTCTGTGTGAGATCACTGGGTGGGGGTGGGGGAAATCACATGCAAAAACCACTTTGGCCACACGAGGCCCAAAAGGCTGCGTGTTCTTGTTCATGCTGAGAGAAGCATTTGGGATGAACTTCAGAGACAACGGGATCAGCGGAACCTCCTGGTTCAGGGCAGGGTATAACGAGACCCCTTTCCTTCTGGCTCAGAGGAGATGGAAAGTGGGTGTTAAGAAGGAGGAGATGAACAGGGTAGGGGAGTACGGAAAGGGGTAGAACAGGGGCCTGGGGTTGGGACAGGATGAAGGGACAAGAAAGGAAGGAATGTAAAGAACAAAACAAAATCAGTCATTGTAGGATGGAGGTCAGAAGGTTGGGCACAGAAGGAGTCAGGACACTGGCCAGGAGATAGGATGGAGTGAGGCTCAGGACAAGGGTTAGAGGAAAAAAGTCGGTGGCAGTAGGGGACAAAAAAGCAGAGCAGGGGTCAGGGTCAGTAGAGAACAGTAATCAGAAGACATGATGGGGACACACCAAAGCAGATTAAAGGAAGGGATAGGAAAAAGGGCAGGTGCAAGATGGAGGTAAGAAACAGGAAAAGACTGGTGTGGAATGAGGAGAGGAATGAGGACAGCAGTGGGACAAGAGAAGACAGGGGAAAACAGCACAGGTTTGGGGGCAGGGATAGGGCAGGAGACAAAGGGATGGTCTAAAGGTGGTTACCCAGGATGGAGGTTAGGAGTCAGGAGAGGGACCAGGGGGGGTAGTACAGGGTGGGGAGAAAGTACAGTAGTCAGATGTCAGAAATCTGGACAGACATGGATCGGATTGGGGTTAGAGAGACAGGATAGGACTGGAAGGGGTTCAGAGACTGGATAAGAGTTTAGGGAACAGACAGGTCGAGCGTCAGGACAGAAACTGGGGTGATCAAGACAAGGCAAGATGAGCTTCATAGATAGAATAGGGTCAGGCAAGGAGGGGTCAGGCCAAGGATCCTGGGAACTGAAT